GGCATGATCTCAGTTCACTGCAACCTCTGCCTCCTGGGTTCAAGCAAGTCTCCTGCTTCGGCTTCCCGAGTAGTTGGGATTACAGGTGCCTGCCACCATGCCCGGCTAATTTTTGTATTTTTTAAGTAGAGACAGGGTTTCACCATGCTGGCCAGGCTGGTCTCACAAACTACAAACCTCAGGTGATCTGCCTGCTTCAGCCTCCCAAAGTGCTGGGATTATAGGCGTGAACCACAGAGCCCAGACCCCTACATGCTTTTTAATTAATTAATTTATTTTTTTTGAGACAGAGTCTCACTCTGTCACCCAGGCTGGAGTGCAATGGTGCAGTGTCGGCTCACTGCAAACTCTGCCTCCTGGGTTCAAGCAATTCTCCTGCTTTAGCTTCCCAAGTAGCTGGGATTACAGGCGCCCATCACCATGCCCAGCTAATTTTTGTATTTTTAGTAGAGACGGGGTTTTACCATACTGGCCTGGCTGGTCTCGAATTCCTGACCTTGTGATCTGCCCGCATTGGCCTCCCAAAATGCTGGAATTACAGGCATGAGCCACAGTGCCTGGCCAATTTTATTTTTTTTTGAGAGAGGGTCTTGCTCTGTTGTCCAGGCTGGAGTGCAGTGGTGCTATCATAGCTCATGGCAGCCTTGACCTGCCAGGTTTAAGTGATCCACCCACTTCAGCCTCTTGAGTAGCTGGAACTACAGGCGAACACCACCATGCCCATTAGTTTGTGTGTGTGTGTGTGTGTGTGTGTGTGTGTCTGTGTGTGTCTGTGTGTGTCTGTGTGTGTCTGTGTGTATTGTTTTTTTTTTTTTTTTTGAGATGGAGTTTCGCTCTTGTTACCCAGGCTGGAGTGCAATGGCACGATCTTGGCTCACCGCAACCTTGGCCTCCTGGGTTCAAGCAATTCTCCTGCCTCAGCCTCCCGAGTAGCTGGGACTACAGGCTGTGCCACCATGCCCAACTAATTTTTGTATTTTTAGTAGAGACGGGGTTTCACCATGTTGACCAGGATGTTGATCTCTTGACCTTGTGATCCACCCGACTCGGTCTCCCAAGGTGCTGGGATTACAGGCATGAGCCACCACACCCGGCCTTGTTTTTTTTTTGAGGCAGAGTCTCACTCTATCACCCAGGCTGGGGTGCAATGGCGAGATCTCTGCTCACTGCAACTTCAGCCTCCTGGGTTCAAGTGATTCTCCTGCCTCAGCCTCCCAAGAATCTGGGATTACAGGCATCTGCCGCTATACCTGACTAATTTTTTAAAATTTTTAGGTGAGACGGGGTTTTGCCACGTTGGCCAGGCTGGTCTTGAACTCCCAACCTCAAGTGATCCACCCACCTTGACCTTCCAGAGTAGTTGGATTACAGGTGTGAGCCACCACGCCCAGCTGTATGTTTTATAGATGGAGTTTCACCATGTTGCTCAGGCTGACTACATGCTTTTTAAAATGTACATGTTGTCTGTTCACAATAGTGCTAAAAAGTATGATTCCCATTTTCAGATGTTTCGGAGAGGCTGTGGTTAAAGGAACTTGCCTAAGGTCACAGAATTCATTTGCAGTTTAAACCTAGTTTAGTAAGATGTCAAAGCTGGTGCTTCCTACTCCTGGCAGGGATAATGCATGATAATATACAATGGTTTCATTTTTACTTTTTTCTCCCAATAATTCTAAAAGATCAGTAGAACAATACCTCAGGCATTTTCTCTCCCCCACATCCTAACTTGAAACCACTGAGGAGCCTGGCACGGTGGCTCACACCTGTAATCCCAGCACTTTGGGAGGCCCAGGTGGGGGGATCACCTGAGGTCAGGAGTTCGAGCCCAGCCTGAACAACATGGTGAAACCCCTTCTCCATTAAAAATACAAAAATCAGCGGCATGGTGGTGGACACCTGTAATCTCAGCTAATCGGGAGACTGAGGCAGGAGAATTGCTTGAATCTGGGAAGCAGAGGTTGCAGTGAGCTGAGATGGCACCACTGCACTCCAGCCTGGATGACACAGCAAGCAAGACTGTCTCAAAAAAAAAAAATCATTTTATCATGCTTACCCCACTAAGTCTACTTTACTTTCTCCCTCTTGCTCTCAGTCTCTCCTCTTGGCTCTTTTTTTTTTTTTTTTTTTCCCTACTGTACAACCCTTACCCAACCACATCCCAGCCATTCTTTAGGAACTCAGACATATCTTTTTTTTTCTCCTAGCATGATGCCCACCCCAAGGTACTTACATGTCTTCAGCAACACCTTCCGAACAGCTTCATGGTATCTCGTGTGGCTATTCTGGTGCACAGAATAATTCCCGACTTTTGAGATAATCGGGGGAAGCCTAGTGGGCTCTGGTTCCTTCTGGTCTGAAATGAGAGTAGACTTGTTCTGAGTACTTGGCAAATGACTATTTGATTCTCTGATTCCCTGGTCTCCATGCTAACCACGTATGTGGCAGGGATCTCTCCTTGGGAGTCAAATCACCATGCCTGTGACAGAGGGAAGGGAGAGAGAACCCAGTGATCACAAGACCTCCCTTACCACTTTCTTGTTCCTCCCTGACTCCTGGGTTTTAAGAGACCAGCTTCTGGAATCAGGATATTAGACACATACTTAAGGTTAGTGCAAGTGAAAAAGCCCTTATCTGGGTATACATTCCTTTCCTGGGACTGGCATATTTGCAGAACTTCAAATGGTCTAATATTGGAAGTTATGTTTGAGCTAAGTCTTGGAGGAAAAGAAGGAGGTAGGTGATAGTAGAATCAGGAAGAGCAGTTCAGACAGCAGAATGGCAAGTATTTAGAAGCATTAGAGAGACATCAGAGAGCTATTGGTTTGGAGCCTGGAGTGCTGGGTGAAGAGAAGGACAGGAGATGGGGCTGGTAAAGTAGTGTAGTATGGCGGCCACCTAGCATTCATTATGTTTGGAAATCACTCCCTATGAAGCAAAACCTGTATCTCACAATAGAAGCTGAAAAGACTAGGTCTTCCTTGCCCAACCTCTCTTTCATCAAGGATATGGGCAAAGAATTTTGGCTAGGCCAATCAAACACATTTGCTTCAGATTTTGAATCAAAGATAAGATCACAAGGAAACAGTGGCCATATGAAGTTATCTGCTAGTGATAGGAGGTGACTCCATCTCAAAAAAAAAAAAAAGAAAAAAAGGATTTCTGTCTCTTGTCTCTTGGTTGTTCCATCCATTCTGCCACACAGGCCAAAAAGGCGCTAGGCCCCTTTCTCTATTTCCTCCAACCAAATGCAGAGTAAAATCCAGTTTTTGGCCGGGCACAGTGACTCATGGCTGTAATCCTAGCACTTTGGGAGGCCAAGGCATATGGATCATCTGAAGTCAGAAGTTCGAGCCCAGCCTGGCCAACATGGTAAAACCCTGTCTCTACAAAAGATACAAAAATTAGCATGGTGTAGTGGTGCCCACCTGTAGTCCCAGCCACTCAGGAGGCTGAGGCAAGAGAATCGCTAGAATCCGGAGGCAGAGGTTGCGGTAAACCAAGATTGTGCCACTGCACTCCAGCCTGGTCGACAAGAGCAAAACTCTGTCTCAAAAAAAAAAAAAAAAAAAATCATCCAGCTCTGCATCTGATGTTTTCAGTGCCTCCATTCTGTATTCCTGGAGCAGAAGCCTCATCCCATTCCTCAAATTTTTATTTTTCATGATTATGGATACTTGTTGGGAACTGAATCAGTTTACCATTCTCTTTGGAAATTGTCGAGGATTGCTGACTAATCTCTGGTGGAGGGTGACGATGCCACTTCTGTTCTGGAGTTCTTCCCCAGCTCCTGCTTTTTCCTCTTCTTCCTGGCTCAGCCTCACTCATTCATCATCTCTGTCCCTCATCTCTCTCTTTGGTCATCCAGTTAAATCTCCTTTAACATTCTCTATCTGAGATAATGATATCACCAGAGTGGGGCACAGTTTGAATCCCCTCCCTGTACAGTTGAGGACTTGGAGAAACAACAATATTGAAGCCTTGGTTAGCATATAGAGTTCTGGAAGCCTGGACTGAACCATGGGGCTGATTTGTGCTTCATCACAGGTTATAGCAATGGGGCCATTTCTTGGAAGCAATATAATTGAGCTTGGTATTTGAATTTGGGCAAGGTGGAGGTGGCAGGATGTCTCCTTGGACAAACAAAAACAGACCGAGGAGAAAGAACAAGCATATTCCTAGTGGCGGACCTAGACTGAGAATAATTATTGGTCTGCGCTCAGGTGACAGTTAGGAACTCTATCTGCTCCCAAGGCCTCAGGCTGATTGTCAAGGGTACAGGCAGATGATGTTATCTATTATCTCAACATGTCCAAGTAGCAGGGTCCCAGCTTCCCATATGGATGGTCAGTATGTGCTTGGAGGTGTGCTGGACAGTATCACCCATCTGGATGCCTTCCTTTGGAATCAACCACCAATTGGCATATACCTTGCATCTATTTTTGGCAAACTGGGAGATATTCTTGGTAACCCATAAATTCTCTGAGCTGCCAAGATTTGGAAGGTACCTGGGGTGAAGGGGGCAGGGGTTGGAAAGAATCATGCCACAGCTGCTGTGAAAGATGTGTTCTGGGTAGAGGGATGCAATGAGCTCTTTCTAACCAAACTCCACTGTGGAAAGGTAGATGAATCAATTATTCTGTTGGTAGGTGGTACAACAGAGATCTGTCATCCACCCAGTTAATGCCATGCTCTGCATGGTCTTTGTTGGTAAGTAGATATGAAGTAACCTAAACAGCTTCTAAAACTGGGCCATAAATTGGGGGTTGCCATAAAACCACCTTCAATGCTTTGAATAGAAACTATGAAGGACATCTAGGGTAGTGTAAAAGTACTGCAGTGGCTCTTCCATCCCCCCAAATGGGTGGTAGAGATTTCTCAGTATTTCAAGCTTCCCTGTGAATCGGGGGTGGTCACACAATCTTAGTTATTCACTAATTTGCCCATTACCTGTTTGCTGCAACTGGGGCTGATTGACCACAATGTTTTCAGGATGAAGAATTTTTAGAATGAGTCTACCTTTGTGGCTCCCAGAAATCTACCTTCTAGATTGGGGTATTTGCAGCCATGCATGGTGACTATGCCTATAATCCTAGCACTTTGGGAGGCTGAGGTGTGGCAGCGTGATCCTGTGGTCCCAGCCACTCGGGCGGCTTAGGTGGGAAGATTGCTTAAGCTCAGGAGGTTGAGGCTGCAGTGGGCCGTGACTGTGCCACGGCACTCCAGCCTGGGTGACACAACAAGACACTGTCTCAAAAAACAAAAATACAAACAAACAGAAAAAATGACTCATGACTCCTATCTATATCATCTTCCCTGATACAAAGAAATTGTCAGTGTTTTGGGAGGAAGTGGACAGAAGCATGAGCCCAGGAAAGCAGACCAATCCTCAAGGCATGTTTTCCATATGGAAGCAGTTCCTTTGGCTCCATGTCCAAAAATACCTTCCTTGAAGTGGTGCACTTGTTCAGAATTCTGAAGATGGGAAGTAGATGGGGCATGAGAGAACAGCAGGACCTAGTGCTGGTTGCAGATTGCTGATGTTAAGTGGAGTACACGGATTTTTCTAGAGATAATAACAATAAAAATAGCTAGTGAATGTGCTTGGCACAACTCTATAATGTAGGTGCCATTATTATTTCCCAAAGAGGAAACAAGCACAGAAAAGTTTAGTAATTTTCCCAAGGTTACATAACTAGCATATGGTAGGGACATGAGTTTAACCCAAGTAGTTTGGCTCCAGAGCCCATTTTCTTAACCACCAACATAACATCATCAGGCTTCCCAGGAAAGACAAAGGACTAAGGGAAAACATAGGCTGTTTGAATTAGCCCTTTGATGGGCTCCCCTGTCTGCAGCTCAGTGGGGATCCTGTCAAGGGAGTCTGCTCACCTGGTGCAGCCTTGAGTTAGGTGGGTGACATGACATCACTGGCTTGATCCACAGGCAGAACCCTGCCTCCCTGAGCTCTACTAAAATGTGTAATATCATTTCCTATGGCCAGGATGAGGGGAGCAGAGGCCTGGAACTTGGTGGGTAACTGCCAATGGCTTGGATCAGTCACAGTGTGGAAGACCAGTGCAGAAAAGCTAAACCCTTGTGGGAAAAGTGGCCTGTCTGCTGCGGTACAGACACAGTCACCCAGCTTCGAGGTGGGCCCACTCCTTAAGCTTAGAGTGTAGCTATGAGTATCAACAGTACCTTCCTGTTCTAATTTCATGTGGATAGGGGATGGGGTTGTGTTTTCTTTTTTTTTTTTTTAATTTAGATGGGGTTTCACCATGATGGCCAGGCTGGTCTTGAACTCTTGACCTCAGGTGATCCACGCACCTTGGCCTCCCAAAGTGCTAGGATTACAGGCATGAGCCACCGCCCCCGGCTGGGGTTGTGTATTTATTAAGACAGGATCTTGCTCTGTTGCCCAGGCTAGAATGCAGTGGTACAATCATAGCTCACTGAAGCCTGGAACTCCTGGGCTCAAGTGATCCTCCTGTCTCAGCCTCCTGAGTAGGTGTATGGGCGTGTGCCACTACACCTGGCTAAAAAAAATTTTGGAGGGCTGGGCAACATGGTGAAACCCTGTCTCTACTAAAAATACAAAAATTGGCCAGGCGTGGTAGTAGGCGCCTATAATCCCAGCTACTCAGGAGGCTGAGGCAGAAGAATCACTTGAACCCGGGAGGCGGAGGGTGCAGTGAGCCGAGATCGCACTGTTGCACTCCAGCCTGGGTGACAAGTGAGACTACATCTCAAAAAAAAAAAAAAATTTTTTTTTTTTTTGTATTTTTTGTAGAGAAGGCGTTTTGCTGTGTCAGCCAGGCTGGTCTTAAACTCCTGAGCTCAAATAATCTTCCCACCTCGCCCTCCCAAAATGCTTGGATTACAGGCAAGAGCCATCACACTTGGCTCCAAGGTACATTTCTCTAACTTCAGAAGGTTTATACATTTGGAAAGGCAGAGGGGCTCAGGGGCTCTGGCCAATTCATTCTTGGCTGAATTATGCCACTCATGCTCCTGTTTGAAAAACCAGAAAGGGCCAGGCACGGTGACTCACGCCTGTACTCCCAGCACCTTGGGAGGCCAAGGCGGGCGGATCATTTGAGGTCAGGAGTTTGAGGCCAGCCTGGCCAACATGAAGAAATCCCATCTCTACTAAAAATACAAAAATTAGCTGGGCACACGACTGTAGTCCCAGCTACTTGGGAGACTGAGACAGGAGAGAGAATCACTCGAACCCGGAAGTCAGACGGTACAGTAAGCCGAGATTTTGCCACTGCACGCCAGCCTGGGCAACAGAGACTGTCTCAAAAAAAAAAAAAAAAAACCCAAACAAAAACCAAAAAGCCAACAGTGCCC